CAGGCCACGTGGTCGCACCACCCGCCTCCCCACCTCGGACAGGGCCGGGGGCGAAACTCTGGCTTGCGGGAGGCCAACCGCCACCGCTGTTACCCGCGTGGCACCTCTGCCCCAGGCCTGGCGAGGGAGGGTCGCCACAAAGTCGCCCTGCAGGTCGCCCTAAATGGGGAGCCAGTCTCCGCTCGCGCGTGGCCGCCCTCTGCCGCCTAAGCTGTTGCTGCGCGTCGGGGTTGCCTCGGGGGGGAGGGGACCCGGTCCTCTCGGGGGGCCCCTAGGCTTCCCGTTGCGGTCGCGGGGCCACTCACGCTAAGTGGGCCGCGGCCGGGGCGGGGTCACGGGCCCCGCCTCCGGGGAGTGGGGCGGTGCGTGCACCCGCAGCGGGATGGGAGCCGGCGAGATGGTTTAAGTTTTTTAGTAGGCAGATTACAAAAGGCAAAAAGAAACACCCGAAATTAATTTTAATAATCTATTGTACATATCCCGGTAGATACAAAATATTAACATTTCAACATGTAATCTGTATGAAAATTATAAGATATTTTACATCTTTTTTTAAATTGATTTTTAGAGAGAGGGAGAGAAAAAACAGATCATTTGCCTCCCGAGCACTTCCACCAGGGATTGAACCCGCAGCCTAAGTATGTGCTCTGACAGGGAATCAGAACCACAGCATTTTGCTATACAGGAGACACTCCAACCCAGCCGCCTGGCCAGGGCTACATACTTTTTTGTATTGTCTTAGAAATTTGGTGTATATTTTACGCGTACAGTGCATCTCAATTTGGCCTGGCCACATAATCAAGGGCTCCTAGCCATCTGTGGCTAATCGGACAGCACAGTTCTAGGATGTTCTCTTTCAGCCCTTAGCTAAAGTAGGGCTCAGCCCAGTTGTTTTAGGTGGGGACAGGGAACCTAAGTTGTCCCAGCAGAGCCAGGACTCAGAGCCAGAACCACTGTAAAGTCTGGGGGCTTTTGGAGCAAACCATGCCTCCTTTTTCTACGTGTCAACCGCTGAATTCCTCAAGAGCAATTTGATATTGGAGTGGTTCAGAGCACAGGCCGATGAGTCTTTTCCTGACTCTTTGAGCCCCCCTAAGCCTCAGTTTCCTCACCTGTAGGATGGGGATTCTAGGAGATGCTGCAGGTAGACAGCCCCATTAGGTTCTCAACAATAATGTTAACCATTAACATTACCACATACCTTTGTTGTTCTGCGGCTGTTAACTTCTCGGGTGCTTTCTCCCTCTTAAGTCTTTTCTGCAGAGATTTCTTCAGTGGACAGAATTATTGGATCCTACAAATTTGTTCATTTCGATTGTAAGTGTTTTTCTTGTTTTCGTAAGTAATGGATTTTATATTTTATTCTGAAACGGGAAGACTGTCCCGTTTGAAAGCAGGTGATATAACAGAATCCACATACATTCTCATATTTTCATTCCTTCGAATGAGCTTGTTAGATTGAAAGGGTAATAAATAAAAGTGGACACCCAATTAACAGGCAATACTAAGCCCTGGGCCACATACTGGAGGTTCAGAGGGGATCAGACAAACCTTGCTGGTTTGTATATCCGTTGGTAGAGAAATATAATGTGGTATATTCATGCAGTGGAATATTGATTAGCTGTTAAAATCAATGATCTAGTTATCAACATGTATTAAGTAGAAACATACAATATATATGATATAAAACGGGAAAACATGGTTTCTATGATGTTTAGTGGAAAAGCAAGATGCATAAATACAGTTTTTATGCAAATTACAAAAAAAAACACACCAATACTACGTGTTTGTTTATGGATACATGTATTCCTGTGTGTGTATGAGTATAAAAAACTCTGATAGAATGGGAAGGGAAATGAGACTGGGGTGATGGTTCTTTTTGGGGAAAAAAAATGAGAAGCCGATATGATCAAACATTTACAGTTGTTAATTCTGGATGGGGGGATTAGAAGTATATAATCATTCTTTGTATTTTCTGTATTTAATTTTTCTCCTCAAATTAAGTAAAAAAAGAGAGGAAATAAGACTGAACTGATTAGATGTGGGGGTGAATGAGAGAGAAGGGACTTCCAGGTCTCTGACTTGCCCAGGAAGGCAGATGGTGGAGAGGTGGCTGCACCAGTGGGGCCAGCTGCCAGAGCTGGCTGGGGGTTGCGAGTTGGAATGACCCATGGGACTATCCTGATGGAAACTCTCAGCAGGTGGAGAGCCTTGGCTACTTGTCGCATTGAAATTAGGTGTGACAGGCATGTGATTTTTCAATCTGTGGAAAAATCGGAGCAGTGTTGAGCTCATGGCTTTCTTTATATTTGATTTTAGGGGAAAATAGAGAAATCGAGGCAATTATTGTTAACGAATGAAGATGCATCTGTTCATGACATGGAGGACCAAAGGGTATGTATCAGGTGCCTGGTTCAGACTGGGGTGCAGTTGCCTTTAGGTGATTCTGCCCTCAGATGCTCTGAAATCTGATGGAACTTGGTCATTGAAAACAAGGAATCGCTTTTCAAATTTGGGATGGTTTTTTAACTGTAGTTAAAATTCCTTCTCATAAACCAGATTATTGTTTGGTACCAGTAGTAGAAACTAGCAATAAGGAGAAAAATCATAGGGTTTCTCCAACACAGTGGATACTAGTGGGGATTCTCTGTAGCCGATTCCTAGAGCCCTGTGGCAAATTCCAGAATTCAGTCAGGCCTCCGAAGTCTGAATCGATTTCCTGTTAGAGGCGGTGTTCTGGGGCAGGGTTCCATTCCTGCCCAAAGACTTAAACCACACCCTGGATGCGTGGCGCAGTGGTTAGAGCGTTGGCCCACGCACCGAAGGGTCTTGGGCTTGATTCCAAGTCAAGGGCACATACCTGTGTTGCAGGTTGGATCCCCGGTCCCGATCAGGGTGCGAGCGGGAGGCAACCAATCAATGTGTCTCTCTCACATTGATGTTTTTCTCCCTCTCTCCCTTCCACTCTCTCAGAAAAGCCATGGAAAAAATATCCTCGAGTGAGGATTAAAATAAAATAAAAATGAGACTGGACAGGAGATTTGTTTGTGGCCAAGCCACCTTTAAAAGCTATTGCTTGTTTTTTCCCCTTTTTATAGATACGAGAAGCTTGGAAGAGAAGTCTGGTAAGTTTCAGCCCCTTCCTAAATTTTAGCACCCTAAAATAACAGAACCAAACATCAAACTAACCTGCGTGCTTGCCTTTTCGAAGTCAACAGTGCATTCTGACAACAGCAGACTGATCCCCAGTCCTTTCCGACCCGCAGGTGAGCTGATTCTGATTTTCAGGAATGGGTTGGGGGCGTGTGATATCTATGAGTTACAAAACACTGCCTGCCTTATGGTAATTGTTTTTTTCTAGAAGGATTTCTGACAGTGAGTCTGGAAACCACAGCTTAAAGAAGACATTTGAAGGGTGCGGGGAGAATAGATGTGGGGCCCAGAGTTGTGTCCAGTGTTGTAGAAAGATCTGGGCTTTGGGAGTGAGGGAACAGGCCTGGTGTGAGAAGCTTCCATACCCAGTCCAGGCTGCCACCGTGCTGGCACCTCTATGTGTTCACTAGCCCAGAAGCTCTCCAGTCCGCCTCTGTTAGTATTTTGAAATGGAGGCTCTATCAGCATCCTAGCTGGTAAATCATTGGCCTTTGGTGATAGGCCCAGCCCCTCTCTCCTCCCTGGAGGAGGAGGTTAAGGGAGTGGGGCTTAAAGGTCCAGCTCCTCACCGCCTGGTTGGTTTCCTAGCAACCAGCCTCCAGCCTTAGGGGCTCTGAAAGTCACCTCATTACCTTAAGCTCGAGTGTGGTTGGAAGGAGCTTGTTACGAGTAACCAAAGACGCTCCTTTTGACTTTACCTCATTCTCACTTGGGAAATGCTAAGGATTTGGGGTCTTTGTGCTGGGCATGGGGAAGGAGGGCAATTTCACATTGTGTATTACAAACCGCAGTGTCCCCCGTGTACTAAACTCACGTGGCAGGGGGACAGGTGCCGGCTGCCACCGCTTACCGTCAGTGACAGGGACTCGGGACTCGGGAGGCTGGTGGGCGGGAGCCTCATTAGGTCTTTATGCACTGTGCTGATTTAATTGCCGTGTGCATATAGTGATTTTTATTAGGAAAATAAAAAGGTGTAAAAAATATCCTTTGCTGTCAACGCCTTCGAGAGGGTGGGGACTGGAGAAGAGGTTTGGGGAGGGGTGCACCCTTCTGGCCTCTTTGCAGCCACGGACCCTCTTCTCTTTGCCAGCTTTCCTGCCTTTCACCGCGCCCATGGTGAGTGAGCTGCTGCTTGCTGTTGTGTGAGCGAGGGAGGCAACGTGGGGGGATCAGGAAGATGTCCACCCTTGTCCCAAGCTCCAGCTCCCAACCCCTGCCCTGTGACTGCCTGAGAGATGGTAATGGATCCCCGACCTTTGACCCTTGTCTGCTCTTCATATACTCCCACCCCGCACCCTGCCTCACTTACACAGTCGGGCATCCGGGCCTCTCGAGGGTTCACAGTGTCACCGGGTGACCCTTTCTTTGATCACCTACTGTGCACAACGCTACCTGGGAGCAGATCCATGAGTTAAGATGTGCTTTCTGCCACAGGCCCACAGAATGGTCCTTTACCTTCTCTCCCCAGCCCTCGCCCTGACACAGGCCCTCACCTGGGACCTGGCGTTGCCCAGCAGGGCCAACCCACCTCGGCTCTCATGAGGGGCTCTCACGAAGTGACAGCACTCCTCCGCCACTTCTTCCACACCTGTCCGTCTGTGTCCCCTTGAAGCGCATTCTTCTCAGCTGCCCTGCTCAGGCGCAGGTCTGAGACAGGACCACCGCACGACCCCAGTGTCCTCAGAGGCCAGGCGGTGCCCGTTCAGCATCACCGTCCACTGACCACTCGCCCCTGCATCACACCTTCCTCTCCTGTCCCAGCTCCCGGGGGCTCAGTTCTGCATCTCCCCTGGGAATTTCTTTGCCCTCCCCCAAAACACTATAACTCTTTTTTTTTTTCTTTTCCTTTGAAGGTATTCTTGTCGCTGGTGTCAGTGAAAAGCCTAAAGTCCATAATTTTACCTCAGGTAGCAATTATTTCAGTTTTGTGATTGCCAAATTCTGTCCTTGAGACCCAAACGTGACCGTTTGCCTGTGTTTCTGCAGTTGTCTTTCTGCACCTACAGTACCGCGTTCAACATCATCAACGGAAACGCCAGTTACGTGAGTGTCAGGACGCGCAGGGGTTGCCGCTTTGTCCTGTATCCTTTGGAGTTGTTCTTTGTTTTAATGATCTTTTCCAGGTAAAACTGTGCTGTTGGCTGAATATATTCCATTGTTTTTCCCTAGAATCGTGGCCCATATGAGAGTGTATTACTAGGGGCAGGAGTAATCGCTTCTACAACCTTTTTTGGAGTAGGTATTTTAAAATTCTGTCAAATCTATTTTGTTCCTCGGAATTTAAAAAAACACTTGATTCTGATCACAAACCTATATTCCATTTTAAACAATTCGTAAAGTATGACTAAGACATAAAGAAGAAAATAAGCCACCAGTAATCCTGTCACTTCTGTATAATCCCGTGAGTGTCCAAGTTTCCAGGCATATGCGTGATACAGTTATCTTTTTAAAAAATTAATTTCTGCTCCACAAACATGGTATGCAGGTTGTATATTGCTTCAGATGTCGGGATATTGTAATGGTTAAAAATGTAGACTTTAGAATCAGATAAACCTAGGCTTGTGTCCTGGCTTAATTCCTGAACAGCTCAGGGACTCTGGATAAGTTAATGTCACTTCTGGAAACCTCCGAGCATTCCTCTGACGATCAGGAGAACAGCTCAGTGCTGCATGGGTTTAAAAATACACGGGGAACCATGGCCGTGGTCTGACCTGAGACAGGAACCAGGTCGCTGTGAGTTCCCTGCTGTCGGCCATGATCAGTTGGTTTTTTGGTCCCGTGCAGTAATTCTTTTTCTCCCATTCTCTAGCTGTTCCCTCGTTTACTCCTAATGAAATATGCACTGAAAAACGTTCTGCTGAGAGAAACCTTGCCTGTCGTCATTCTCGGTAAGCAGGAGTTTGCAGTCCTTGTGGCCTTGGAGTCTTTCCCCCATCTGCAGGGACACCCAGGTCCTTTGGCCACACTGTGGCTGATGAGAGCCCCCGTTTGCAGCTGGTGGGTGGCCCTAGGCCCAAATGAAGTCTTTGCTTTGAGAGGTGACACTTTTTCTGTAGGTACCCCTTTGGTTGTCAGGGGATGGACACAAACACAAATTACATTTTAAAGACTCTCTGTATAAGCCCTCTCCATGCGTTATTTCACTTCATCCTGACACCAGTTTATGGGTGGGTGACATTCCCATTCTCAGATGAGGAGACGAGACTGAGGCAGGGGGAGGTTAGGGAACTTTCCTAGGTCACTGCTAAGAGGCAGTGTTCTGACGCCAAGGGAGTGAAAGAGAGATATTAGCCAACTATTTTAAGTTTGCCAGCCTGCAAGTTCACTAGTTCACGCTCCAAATTCAGGTTTGGGAATCATAGCACTTTGAAGAGGGGGCAGAATGTCGGTGGTAAAATTTGGGAAATTGTTACAGAAACCTGATCAAACCAGCTTAAGCAAAGAAGGGGCGCATATTTCAAGGACCCCCAGGTTTCTCCTGGAATCCTGTCAGGGAGCCAGGCTGGACTTTCTGGGGTGCTGGAACCTGGTGCTGGGTTGTAGTCAGGATCCGAGACTGACAGGCCAGCAGTCCTGACCCCGGCTCCATGGCCCAGGAAAGAGCCTGTTGGCCCAGCACAAATTGGGACCTCTGAGGGTTGGGGAAGCACAGCCATAGAGAAGGCGGCTTGACACCAGAAAATACGTCGTCTCCCTGGACTGAAACATCTCTCTGTTGGGTTCTCTTCTTTACTCCACAGCCAACGTCAGTGCACTGAATGCTGCCGCATCCCGAAGCTTTGAGCCTATGCGAGGGATTGAGGTCATGGACAAAGAAGGCAATGTCATAGGCTATTCCAGAAGAGCTGGGAGAAAGGTAGGGACAAAGGCTGGGACAAAACTATTATTCAATGGTTTATTCTTTTGCTCAATTCAACACAGTGACCTTTGAATGCATTCAGCTCTAAGAACCTGCAATAGCCTATGGTAGTTTTAATTTGGGTATGGATTTACAAAAACATGTTTATAACAGATCAGATATTTTTGAGCTTCCTGTGAAGTGCCTTTTGCTGAAGAATTGTAACATGAGGCAGTTGTTTGCAAATGGCATGAAGAGCAGCATAAAACAGTCCCTGGTACAAAGCGAGAGGATGGCCAGCTGGACAGCCTTCTGCTCAGCATATCAGTGGAAGAAGAGCTCAGCAAAAGGGGCTGCTCATTCGGTCGGGAAATGCATCATTATTCGGCTCATGAAACATGTTACTCTAAATCCTAGCAGTGAGTCACGAAGCTGAATTATCAGCCATCAGATAGGTGTACAGATATGTCTCAAAATAATGGCACCTTTCTAAACGATTTACAGTGGGGATGTGATAATTGCCAGTATCAAGGAGGGAAATTGCTGTCAGAAATCAAATCGTTTTTGAAACGAAGGTTCTGTGCCTAAGAAATCACCCTAAAGAGACATTTTTAACAGCTCTATTGAGGTGTAACTTACATACTGTGAAATTCATTGTATAAGTATATAGTTTGATGAATTTTAGCAAATTTAAGCAGTTAGTTATGTAGCTATCACCACAGTCCAATATTAGAACATTTTCATCCCCCTAAACATTTCCCTCGTGAGAGTCACTCTTCCCTTCTGCTCCCAGCCCCAAGGAAACACTGATCTGCCTTATATCTTAACCATATGGCCTTTTCTAGAAATTTCATATCAATGAGTTGTATAGTAGTTTTCTGTGTCCGGCTTCTTTTAACCCATATCAATAGTATGTTGCTCTTTGGTAGATAGACGTACCACAGTTTTCCTTTTCCATTCCCCAGGTGACGGACATTTGGGTTGTGTCCAGTTCGGGGCTGTTAGAAACAGTGCTGCTCTGAACGTCCGTGTGCAGCTGTCTGTGGACCCGTGTTTGCGTTTCTCTTCAACTCAATTTTAACTTCAGGGTGTGGCTGGAGTCGTGAACTATTCATACAGCCGGAGAGAGAGCAAATGGTTAAGCCACACGTTGTTTCTCAGCACCTCCTGCCCGCCAGGCACTGTGCTAGGCTCTAGACACCGAAACCCTCACCAGTCCGCACCCCTTCTCCCCAGGAGCCAGGAGCGGGAGGCAGCCGCAGGCCCTGCTAGCTATCTGGGTATCTAGTCCGTCTCACTGGGAGGAACTTCATTTTTTGCGTGAATGCCAACTTAGGGTAAAAGAAAGGTTTGATGGTCTGCTTTTAAAAAAAAAAAGTTTATCTTTCTCTTAAGACTAAAGTATCTGCAGCTGTGCGTAAGCATGAGCATTCTTTTGTCGTTTCCCTGTCACCAAGAGGTTTATTTTCTTTGGCTAAAATTTCAGAAACTGCGTAACCAGCAGTATCTGATTGTAACAGGGCACCTTTGCTCAGATTTCAGGAGCCTAGTCCATGTTGTTCTGCCTTGACTGGCCCTGTAAGCCACTCACTTGTGAACCTGGTGCCCCCGAATGACGGCTGTCTCCTTGGGAGGGTCTTCCCTTTGCACAGGTGACACACGGACACGGGCCGGCCTCGCCACACTGACGTTGAAACACACCATGCTGACAGTCACTTTTGTCTCCTGAAGTAGAGCACTTTTATTTAATGTTCCTGACAGTTTATTTTAAGAAGCGCCCTCCTGGGCTCCCTCTCGTCGGAGGGAAAGGCATTCCCCGCGGAGGGATCGGATGAGCCGAGCAGAGCATAGGAAGGAGCGGGAGCTGGGCTGTAGCCGAGTCCTGGAGGTGGAAGCGGGAGGAAGGGAGTCGGGGAGGGAACAGGGGCTTTGGGCCTGTGGGTCTTGCACGGAGCAGTGCTGTATGTGGAGTTGTGTCTTCCCCGGGGATTGGGTTCTGAAGTTAACACAGTGTCATCTGTAGTCATAATTGCCCTTAAAGTGTCTTATATTGTCCTTGAGGACACAATATTGTGCACATAACCCATGCAGTAAATTACATATTCAAGTGTTCACCACATAGAATAATACACATAACAGGAAAGATGACAAAACATTATAAACTCTACGTGTGTGTGCAAAATAAAATTTTATAGCGTATTTTTAATCAGGCGTGCAAAAGGTGGGTGCGTACGTGCGCACTCACGTGTGTTACGTGTGCGGGTGGTCCCCCGCCGGTGCACTCGGAGCCGGGCTTTCGGAGCTGGCCTCCCCTGGAAGGGTGGGAGTAACTGCGGGCTGCTCAGGGCAGGGACGCCAGTGGCAGAGTCCTGGACTGAAAGGTCAGTGGCAAAACCCTGCATTTCTACCAAAGGGAGTGCCGTTTGGTTCCAGGTGAGGATTTTCCTGTAAGCTGCCTTTTCTTATACGTAGTTTTTATTTGAAATGGACAGTGGACTGATGGAGACCACTGTGGTGGAGTCAGGAGGCAGGAAGTCCTGCCTCCAGTTACTCCTGGCCCCCACCTCAGCCGCCCGCCCTGCATGTGCGCGTCAGGGGCTCCGCCGCTGTCCACGTGTGTTGGTTTTTAAGTGAGAAAGAGAGTTGCTGTGTGCTTGTCTCTGTCATGAATTACTGGATCCCCAGAAATCGTCTCACTCCGTGTCCTAAGCTGCTTTCTTTCGCTTTCCCCTAGGCCGTTAAGGACACAGCAACATCCAGAGTCGTGCTGTTTGGGACCTCAGCTTTGATTCCTGAAGTCTTCTCGCACTTTTTTAAAAAGTAAGGCGCGTGCTCACCTCCCCAGGGAGGAGTAAATATTTTGACAGTCAAAATCCTTATAAAACTTGTCAGATCTCAGCCTGGTGGGAGGGATGGGAAGAACTTGCTCCCGTGGTCTTCCTACTAAACGCTCTTCATCACAGTTAAGACAGGAGGATTGGTTTGGAATCCAGATGTGCATATGCCAACAACCCTGGCATCTGGCCCAGGCCCTGTCCCCAGCTAGCTCTGTGCTCTTGGCCACATCCCAGCATCTGCTGAGGCATGTTTCCTCACTTCCAGAATGATGGGTTTGGATGATTTACAGGTTTTCCCAGCTCTGATGTGCTGTGAATATTGCCCAAGCCTCTTTCCCCCCCTTCATTCCAAGCATGTATTAAATTAGCTTAAATGACCCCAGATTCAGAGACTGTCATCCCATTTGAGAAGCAAGAAATGGCCTATTGGGAGGAGGGCCTGGGGATCAGCCAGTCTGAGAAGCCCAGCTTGCAGTAGCTCAAGCCAGAAGGGAGCTGTGTTGGTTTAGATACTGAGTATGGGCGGGAAGTGGAGCCTATGGCCGCTGAACAGAAGCTGTGGTGCGGGGACAGTCCTCTTCTCTCCTGCCACACATTCGCTTCTTTGTACTGATGAGAGATGTGACTGTTGACACCTAGCTATGTCCTCACAGTGTCCTGATGAGAGAGAAAAGCACAGCTAACCCCAGGGGAGGCAGGGAAGCTCTTCTGCTCACTTCACAAACTCCCTGGGAAGGATTCTGTTGGCCCTCGTGGGGTCGCCTGCCTGTTGCTGAACCAGTCTACTCTGTCCAGCGTGGTGAGCTAGGAAGCCCCTGCTAGGACCACGTAAGGAGCATTGTTTTGAGGAAGTAGCAGCGTCCTGGGCAGCGTGAACTGTTACTTCCCACGATCAGTCCAGCTGGATGGGTGTGGAGACTTCTGCTTGGTCAGGATCTTCCTGGANCCCACGATCAGTCCAGCTGGATGGGTGTGGAGACTTCTGCTTGGTCAGGCCACTCTGGCTGGCCTCAGAGCTGGGCTCCTGGGAAAGCTGGCGCGCTCTGGTTGGTCCCTGGATGCCGATGTAGTGGCACTGGCTGCGTGGTGGGGAGAGATGGTCGTTTCCCAGTGGGCCTTCGGGTGCCCAGAAGGGCCACATGCCATCCCATAACCATGATAATATCCAAGCTAGAGTGACCTGCATGGCTGACTTAGCCCTTTCATTTTGCATCTGAAGAAACCCAAAGCTCAGGAGGGGAAAGTGACTTGTCTGAAAGCACCTGGTCTGTCAGTAACAGAGCCCCAACCAGACCCCGGGACCCCGAGCTCTGACTCCCAGGCTGGGGTTCTTCGCATCTCCCCAGTCTGTCTCACACTCTCAAAGGTGTTGGGGTCAGAATGTCACATCCATGTCTGCATAGCCCCAGGTGGAGAGCACAGGCTCTAGGATCTGACCTGTCACTTTTGAGCTGTGGGATTCTGGACAGGTGACTCAACTGGACAGTGGCTGCATTCTCTTGTTTATGTGAAGGAGATGATGGGAACACAAACCTCATGGGGCCGTGGAGCTATCAAACGAGCAAATGCACATGGAGTCAGTCCTTCAGCCTGGGCCTGATGCTGGTGAGCAGGGCATTTGGCTGCCAGTGGAGCAGAGGACCAGCCTCTAAACAAGCCCCGTGACCTCGTCTCTTACAGGACCCCGTTGTTCACGCGATACCCACAGTCCTTGTGGACCTTAAAGCTGTCTTGTACCATCTTGGTAATGGGACTGATGGTGCCCGTTTCTTTTAGCATGTTCCCGCAAATTCAACAGGTAAGTGCCCCCCCTTTTGACTTTCTCTCTCTAAAAAATAACTTTTTCTTACCTTCATTATAAGAGTAAATAAATTATTCTTTTTCTAAAAAATCTGCCAAGTTTACAAAAGTATAAAAAGAAAATAATATGATTCACACATAATCCCATCCCCCAGATGCCTTGTGCAGTTTTATATTCTATTTTTCTTAACAGTGTGTCAGAAGCATTTTTATGGGATGTTTAAAAAAACTTTGAGCTATTTTATTTTTTTAAATGTATTGTTATTGATTTCAGAGAATAAGGGGGAGAGAGAGAAACATCAGTGATGAGAGTCATTGATCAGCTGCCTCCTGCACGCCCCCACTGGGGATCGAGTCCGCAACCTGGGCATGTGTCCTGACCGGGAATCGAACCGTGATCTCCAGGATCCTAGGTCACTGCTCAACTGCTGAGCCACGCACGCTGGCCGGGCAGCTTTGAGCTATTTTAAATATTCTGTCATATTCTATAACAACGCCCCATCCAGTGGAAACTTTCTGTGATGATATAAATGTCCTATATCTGTGGTGTCCAGTATCGTAGCCACTAGCCACGTGTGGCTGTTGAGCATTTGAAACATGGCGAGTGAGACCGAGGAACTGAATTATAGATGTAAAAGCTGAGATGTAATTTTCACCTAAGTACTCACGTGCGGCTAGTGGCTACTGTATTGGACTGTGTAGTCCTGTAGTCTAGGATATATTCTAATTTATGACAAGCCAGCCTGCCTGGACTCAAATTCCTAGCTCCTGTTTACTTTGGTCAATTTGCTTAAACTCTTAGATTCAGTATCTGTATCTGTTAAAAAAAGATGACTGTAGCAGCATCTCTGTTGCTGGTACAAGGACATAGTTGATGTTAGTGGATATTAGCAATTTCTGGAATTTCTAGGCTGAAAATTTCAAATGCCTCTGTCACTGAAGTTAAAAATCAGTCATGTCCTCTGGCTCTCTCATCGATATTTCTCTCTCTCTCCCTCTCCCTTCCTCTCTTTGAAATCAATAAAGACATTTTTAAAAAAATCAGTCATGTCCTCAAAGCATTTGCAGGGTGGGGCCAAAGTAGGTTCACAATTGTAAGTACAACAGAGTTTATTCTTGTGTTACTATTTATTATTTTCTTTCCATATGAACACCTGTAAACCTACTTTGGTCCTACCCTGTATATTTTTATGGAATGCTTTTGTTCAAAACCCAAATTCTCTAAGTTTAGGTTTATAAAATCGTTAATTCAAGCAACTTGGCCAGCACATAACATAGAAGTTTTAGATTATTTAAGACAGTTGCTATACTCTGAGGGTGGTGAGGGATAGGGGGATAGAGAGGAGTAGCTTCTCATTAAAATAGATAAAATAGAAGAATATATACGTTGAATCCTTCCAGTCCCCTTTTAGAACACAGTTTGTTGCAATAAGATTGCAATAAAAGTAAACCCTTTGCAAATAATTACTTCTGACTGCATTGGTACTCCAGAGAGTAGAGCTGATGGCTTATCAGCAGGTCCTTAGATCGATTACAGAAGATTTTAAATCTCTTGGGATTGGCAGGTTGTTAATAGTTAAAGCTGAGTGCTGAGGACATGAGGGCTCCTTATATTCTTTCTGCATTTGCTTCTATTTGAAATCTCCCAGAAGAATGTTTTTAAGATACTAAGTTGTTTTTTGTTCTAAATTAGACATCACTGAAGAAAAGTTGGACTGTGAAATAAATGCTTTCTGAAAATGTTTTTTTATAAAAAAAAAAAAAAACTTGGCTTCTGAGGCAAGAAAAACCTTAATATAAATATTAAGAATCTAACTTTGTTTTTCAGATACAGTGTAGTCAACTTGAACAGGAAATTCAGTCTGCAACAGAAGAAACCGAACTCTTCTACAACAGAGGGGTGTAGGGGTGAGTTTTGGGTGAACTTGTTTGGTTCCCCTTGAAAACCTTCCTCTGGAGGTTTCAGTCTCAAGAACTGTGCCAGAGGTCTCCTGGAAACCCCGAGGTGTCTGCGCGGACAGGATGGCTTAGTCGGTCACACGTGCCAAGACGGGTCAAGGCTGGTCATGCCTGGGCTTTTTAGGCCTTGATGGAAGACGCGATATGGGAGGCTGTCCTGTCTGCCCTTCCCCCCCGGGATTGCTGAGGGCCTGGGTGATGCTAAGATTCAGTTTTCTGTTTGTCATCCTGTGAAAGGACACTGTGAAATTACTAATAAACTTTTCTAAAGTTGAGTATTTGAAAAAATAAAGAAGGGCCCACGAAGCCCAAGGCACAGGCATTAAATTGATGGCCCATCTCAAGGTAAACATTGAACCTCTGGTGAGCGGTTGAAGGCCCCCAACCCCCAAGCAATCCTGCTTCCCCAGCCAGCCTACTCCCATTTTGGACAACTACTTAAACTCTTTGCCATCCGCCACCCAGCTCCTTCCTTCTCACTGGCAATGACCCTGCCTCTCCTGCTTCACAGGAAAAACAAGGCTCTTGGCCAGCTGTGGAACCTCTGGCACCAAACCTCCACCCACACCCAGCCTTCCCTCCTCCAAGCAAGGTCAGCAGGGCCCTAGGTTCTGGGCTTGTCCCTTATTTTCTCAGGGCCCCTCTGCCTCCAGCCTCCTGTCTGCTTCTTCCTAGTAGACAGAGTCTGCTTGAGTCACCTGCCTCAAAAAAACAAAACCCCTGCCCTGGCCGGGTGGCTCAGTCGGTTGGGGTGTCGTCCCCAACCAACCTGCACCAAAAGGTTGCAGGTTCGATTTCTGACCAGGGCACATACTTAGGTTGCAAGTTTGGTCCCTGGTTGGGACATGTGGGAGGCAGCAATTTATGTTTCTCTCACATCAGTGTTTCTCTCTCTCTAAAATCAAGACGTATCCTCAGGTGAAGATAAACAATAAATGGTAAAAGCAAAACCCCCGTTCGTAGCCAAACGTTTTCAGACATTGTCTGCCCTCACTGTGCAGCCCACCCACTCTGCTGAGACTGTCAGCCACGCCCACTGCTGGCTGCTGGACCGGTCTCTGTGCCTGCTGTCCCCTGGCAGTAGCCTCACATCCAGCTGTCCCCTGCACGTTGCCATTTGGATGTCCACTTGAGACCTCCCAATCTCAGGAAATGGCACCACCACAGTTGCATCAGACAGGATCACTGGCGTCACCCTGACTCAGCCTTTCCCCACACTCCCATTCAATAGGCTGAGCCCGTCATCTCATCTCACGAACTCCCTCCAAGGCCACTGCCACTTAGCGCAGCTCGGTCCAACAGCATCCCCTGCTGGTTTTACTCTTACTGCTCTCTGGCTCCCTCCAGTCCGTGCTCCAGCTGGCTGTCCTAAGCCACACCTGCTTAAAAGCCTTCAGTGGCTTCTCCCTGCTTTAGGATCAAGTTCGAACTCCTTGCCATGCAGGCAAGAAAGAGCCTTTGCCTTACTCATCTCTTGCCGCTCCCTCTCCTCACTCTGGAGCAACAGCCAGCTCCTCAAAGGGGCTGTGTTCTCTCTGCTCTGGGCCTTCACACCTGCTTTCCTCTGCTTATACTTTAGGACTGACTTGGACTTGGACCACTCCCTCCAGGAAGCCTTCCAGGATTCAGTGCTGAATCAGGTGCCCCTCCTGTGCTCCCATACCACTTGTCTAGCACTTGCCACGCCACAGTGCAGCGACCTGTTTGCAGATCCTGTGCCCCTGTAGACTGCCCCTTGAGGACAGGAACTATCTTGTGCATAAAAGAAGCCCCAAGATACAACAGTGCACTATGCAGAGTAGGTACCCAAACAGTTGCGTCCTGGAGGAATGTTTCCAACACACCCTGCCCCAAATTACCAAAGAATGTATCTGGATTTCAGTTTTCCCTGGGCCAGAATGATGGTTATCTCGAAATTTGATAAAAAGGGTTTCACAACAGCCTAAAAGGACAAAATTAGTAAAACTGGTTTACCAGATGGCTCAGTCTAGCCCCAGGCTTACACTAAACAGAAGAACAGTGCACCAGCCCCAGGTGGAGGCCAACCCCCAACAGTGAGTGGCACGAGGGCATCTTCCCAAAGGAGCCGCTTTGAAGGCGGCACTGGGAACAGGCAGGGGAGGGAGAAGGAGGGGCCGTGAGGGGCTGAGCCAGGTGTGGGAGAAAGGAGCCTGCATCCCTTCACTTTTGTAATCCTCACCCAAGGACACTTTTTCCATTGCTTTTCAGAGAGTGGGAAAGAGACATTGACGTGACACATCGATTGGTTGCCTCCTGCATGCGCCCTGGCCGGGGCCGGGGATGGACCTGCAACCGAGGTGCCTGCCCTTGTCCGGAATCGAACCCGGGACCCTTCAGTCCGCAGGCCGATGCTCTAATCATTGAGCCAAACGAGCCAGGGCCCCCATCACTTTCAAAGAGGTTTTTTAATAATTCCTCAGCACATTCGCAGTTGGCAAAAAGGTTTTGTTTTTTTGGAGTGGAAAGAATTCAAGAAAGGGTGCAATTTCTCATCTACCTAAAACTTCGTTGAGTATCAAAATATTTCCATTTTATTTTTGCATCATACATTCGTAATTTTAACAACTTTGATCATTAGCTAATACAGTAATACAAAAATGAGGGAGAAAAAGATGTTAGTATTCATTTTCATAAAGTGCAAGTTTAGTTTTAAATTGCTTTAGTAAACAAAATCTCATTTCAGGTCCACCCTTTCCCAAGGTGGAAGAGAAAGAGCTATTTCAAACATTTTACTTAACAAGAATAAGTGAAAGATCCAACAGAGACAAGATTTTTTTGCAAACATTTTTCTGGGTTAACATTTCTAAGGACAACAGTACTGACTGTAAAATAACCTTTCGTAGTTAATATGAATACATATAATAAAACAAGAACATAACCTAGACCTCTGTGCTTATTTTGCAACTTTTAAGTATCCAATTATGAGAAAGGTACACAAGTGAACAGGAACAGTTAGCTTCATATGTGGCCAAGTTAACTTTTTACTGGAGTTATTTGAAGACATTCTCGGGTTTGGCCCTTGCAGGCAGGTCATTCTCACACTCCCTTACCAATTATGTCAAATTGCTAGTTCAGTTATACAGACATTTCTATTCAAAATGGGTGCTTATCTGACTCTGCCCTATGAGGACTGGCCTTTCAAAATAATATTGCTAGAAGATTAATTGAAGAGTGCCGATGGCTTAAGTTTGCCAAATGCTCACTTGGAGACAGTATAAATAAGGATTACTAAAGTTGTCTACTCAAGTATAAAATCTATGCAAAACCCTCATAATATAGGCAAAGTGTTCAAAGGCCAAGGAAAAATTTTTCTTTTATAAGAAAGTGCAACTGCAGGGTCTTTTGAATGATCTTCTAGACAGTTCGGCAGACAACCTGGTAGTTTGGCTCAGAAAGAGGAGCTCCTCATGAGGAATGAAAGTTCTTCCTAGAATATGAAGCAAAATCTCAGGCAGCTTTCTGAAAAACTGCTCATGGCGACAAGGTGACAACAAACTTACAATAGCGACGGCTTTCGGAGCTGCTGATTTGCGTGAGAACTCGGCAGCGCTGCTTCCTCTTACCCAGGACAGCGGGCCACCTTATAACTTATTTACGGGTCACAGCACTCTGTCCAGCATTGGGAGTAGGTGTGAACTAATCGGATAAGAGAAGATCAGAAGTGTTTTCATGTGTTTCAGTGCTCTTCAGGTCAAATCTCAATACTTTCAAATAAATCACTAAAATATAACATTTCCTTGTTATTTTCAATATTTTACATAGTTAATGGAAAATCATGGTCAAAGAGCTTTGTATCAGTCCTCAGTGATACCATCTGACGCTGTCAGATTTTCAGCATTTGTTCGGCTGCTGCTAGATGGTAAAGAAAGTTTTCTGTTGCTGGTGGGAATCGTCTTTGCTTTAGTGCCTCAAAATTGAGAACAAGCTTTCCTCCATCACCCGAAACTTCTGAAAATGATGCCAAGTTGGTGAAGATTTCTTTTGTTTTCAGGGAAATATCCTTTAATAAAAACAGGAAAATATGCAGTCTGTTAGCATTAAGAAATTTTAGTAGTTGTTGCATTTTAATAGAACTCTTACTGCCATTTTTAAAAGTGTATCTAACTTTATAAGTTAGAAAAAATGAAACAAAATAACAGACTTATCAATATCACGGATAGTTTTCTTTTTGCCATTTTAAGGACACAGTTCAGTGGCAGTGAAGTACCTTCAGTGTTGTATGATGATCACTACTGTCCATCTCCAGACCTTTTCATCACCCCAACTGGAACTCTTGTCTCCATTAAACACTAAACCCCAGTCCCCTCCAACCACCATTCTACTTTCTGCCTCTGAATTCGCCTATTCTAGGTACCTCACATAAGTGGAATCATACAATATTTGTACTTTTTGACCAGCTTATTTCACTTAGCATGTTTCCAAGGTTCGTCCATGTTGTGGTGCATGTTAGAACTTTATTCCTGTTTATGGCTGAATAATATTCTACTATATCTGGATACCACATTGTGTTTCCCCGCTCATCCATGTGCCATCCCATCAACAAGGGAGAGGAGGGTCCACATGGGCACTGTCATCAGCTGACAGGAAGACCACAGAGGAGCTAGCCCTGCAGGGTGTGACACCAGAGTCTGCTGAGGTTGGCAGGGCCTACATCATCAATGTCCTGGAGGCAATACATCAAAGCTCTATTAAGACGCTCTACCTAGTTCCCCATGCTCAGCAGCAACCTTCTGTTTACACTTTCTTTGTGAAAATTCTGCTAGGAGGAGAGGATGCACTGCCGGTCCAGAACAGCCTTCCAGACACTTGGAAGTTACATTTCTCACCATAAACGCTTAGCTTAGCACCAGCCGTCCCACCATATAGATCTTATCCTCAGAGCAGCCCCCACCTGCTCATTTCCAGCAGGTCCATCTGCAAACCCTCATGAGCATCTGCCCACTGGCCTCTCCCAGTCACTTCCCTTTGTCACGTGCACAGCAGGTAAAGAGCAGCTCTGCGCACACAGCCCAGCGACGCCGGTTTAGGACCCTGAGTAAGTCGGCAGGTTCAGAAGTTACCTGTATAACATGGCTGTTGGATTTCTCTGGATCTTCTGCAGACTGAACAATTAGCTGACCAATTTCTCTGTGCAGTTTGCCCATTGTCATGGCCTCTGGTGAGATTAAGAATATGTTGTGTGAATATTTAGAAGTTTAATAAAAAAATAATCATGTCACCTCTCTGAAAACCTGAAAGATCACACAGGGAATTTTCAAAAAGCAACCAACAACCCCCTCATTTCCATCCGATTGCTAAACACAAGTATGACAACAGGCTGGGAGGGAAGGAAGGCAAAATCATGGTTTATATACTTCATGTCCCAAATAAAAACACACCAATACCAAACCAAATTTCTCTTTCACGCCTACCTGATTAAGAATTTTATTTTTTTCTAGACAACACTAATGAAAGCTTCTAACTACAGATAAGTTGTGAGTTTAAGCCAAGAGCCTGACTTTCCTGTCCAGGTCCTGACAGTTAAGAACGCAAGTTTATCTTTCTGGCGGGAATATTGTGAAAGCAGGGCTTCCTGTCAGTTCAGCAGAAGCCACTGAACATTCAGTGTGGAAAGGCCCTTAGACACGAGTAAAGGAAACAACCTAAGGTGCATTAATTATATACACTGCTACTTTTTGCAGCCAGGGGAGTAACAGAAATTTCGGTCTGCCACTCCAACGGACAAACACAAATGGTGCTGCCTGGGATGAGCCCATTTTACAGACTCAGAGCAACAGGTGGCAGCAGGAAGATGGCCACCCTTTCAGCAATTTCAGTGGCCCAGCCACAGCTAGGTTTCTATCACTTTTGCTTTACAAAAGGTAGTATTTTATATTTAAAATTTTTCACCAGGAACATGCATTATGTTGGTAATTTTAAAACAAATGAAATAGTACTAGTTCTGGTTCTACTCATTTGGAGTTCCTAGATAAAATCTCACATAATGAGAATCTATCTAACAAAAACACCCCCATCAGCCAGCGTTCAGCTATTCCCACTTTCAGGAGAAAGAGATAAATGACAACAGAAAAGCTGTTCCCAGGAATTCCCATCTATAGGCAACACCCCAGAAGTGCCCTGGGCACACACAAGGTTAACCTGATCTTTACCATTTTATGTAGCTGTAGTTTAGGACAATTTAGTTCCCAGAGGTGACACTATGACAGCTAGGACCCCTTTCTTGATCATTAGTTCCAAGAATACTTTCATTTCCTTGGGCTTACTGAGCCATCCTTCAGAGAGAGTTTCCACACAGGAGTCAGTCAACCTTTGGGTGGTGACAAATGCTACACGTTCTTTAGTGATGCTCCCCTCAGGAGGCAGAGCCTAATCCCTCTCCCTTAAGTGGGATGGGGCTTAATGACTTGCTTCTGACAAATGGAATATGGAGGAGTGAGGTGCATGACTTCTGAGACTAGGTCATAAAGGACACTGTGGTCTCCTCTGTCGCTTGGATCACTCACTCTTGGGGAAGCCAGCTGTCCGCCATGAGAACACTCAAGCTGCCCTATGGAGAGGCCCATGTGGTGAGGGCTCCTGCCAACAACCGTGCGAGTTAGCTGGGAAGTGGAGTCTCCAGCCCCAGTTGAGCCTTCAGATAACTGCAGCCCTGGCACTGTGTTGATTAAAACCTCATGACAGACCTTGAGCCAAAACCTCCCAGCTAACAGAACTAACCTTTCGCAAGTGGGGCAACGGTAATCTCACTGTCTGCCAGGTTCACAAACACGTCATAGAGGTCTGATCTATTGCTCACCTCCGAGTCTACAAATCCGGCGATGTAACCTGCGTTAGAGATGAGCAACATTACTAGAGTCCGAAGAAATCATATTGTGAGCACAGCAAATGAGAATTGAGTCTAAAAGGTCACCAGCTGCTTTACTTATTCAGGGCACATTGGCTGTGGCCTGTGGCATTTATTAAGACTACATTATTGTCAATTGCCTTAAGAAACTCACACAACTCAAAATGTTCCAAAGCCAGACTTCAGTGTCAAGGAAGGAGGCTGAAGGAAAGCATTTACTTTTCAGCCACTGCTTTTGGGGACAAAAATGACAGACGAAGCAGAAGGTAGCAAGGATGCTCCTGATCAGTGTTCCTGCTCTGGGTCCTTGTCTCCAAGAAATCATAGCCAAACACCTGGGGTTTCTCAGGGAAAGTGAGTGGAAACAGCAGCATCTTTCACCGATTTCAGAGCTCATAAAATAAGTGCTAAAAACATCAGGGCAACTCTAGACTTATCAGACCTTTGGAATTGGTGTGGGAAGACAATTCTTAGACTTTGGATTTCTTTTATTTTAATATGTTTTTATTGATTTTAGAGAGAGGGAAAGATAGAAACTTTGACAACAGAGGAACATCGGGTGCCTCCTGCACGCCTCCTCTGGGGATCCAGCCTGCAATCTGGGCATGTGCCCTGACTGGGAATCAAACTGGCAACCACTTGGTGCATGGAACAATTCTCAACCAACTGAGCCACACCAGCCAGGCATAAAGTTTAAAAAAATTTTTTCTTTGAGAAAAAATATGACAAGGCTCAATTATAATCTAAATCAAATCACTGATAAAACTGTTTTTGTTTTTTTTTTTAAATATATCTTTATTGATTTCAGAGAAGGGAAGGAGAGGGAAAGAGAGAAATATCAATGATGAGAGAGTCATTGATCAAGCCCACAACCGGGGCATGNGAGAGAGAGATAGAAACATCAATGATGAGAGAGTCATTGATCAAGCCCGCAACCGGGGCATGTGCCCTGACCGGGAATCGAACCCCAGTCGCCTGGATCCTAGGTCGACGCTCAACCGCTGAGCCATGCCCGGCTGGGTAGCTTTTAAAAAATATATATCTTTATTGATTTCAGAGAGAGGAAGGGAGAGGGAGAGAGAGAAAAACATCAATAGAGAGTCATTGATCAGCTGCCTCCTGCACGCCCCCCCTCCACTAGGGATCGAGCCTGCAACCTGGGCATGTGCCCTGACCGGGAATCGAACCCTGATCTCCTGGACCATAGGTCGATGCTCAACCACTGACTCACACCCAGCGGGGCAAGAAAATTTTTAAGACAAGAACTTGACAAGTTAAAAATAACAGTATTTTGGAGACAGCTGCATAACAATTTGAATGTATTTAATGCCACTGAACTACACACTTAAAATTGATTAAGATGAGCCCTGGTCGATGTGGCTCAGTTGGAGCATTGTCCTGTACGCCAAAATTTGCCGGATCAATCCCCGGATCAAGGCACGCATGGAAGGCAGCAGGCTGATGTTCTCTCTCACACTGATGTTTCTTTCTCTCCCCTTGACCCATCCCCTCTCTCTGGAATCAATAAGCATATCCTCAGGTAAGGATTTTAAAAAAAAGAAAAAGATTAAGATGGTAAATTTTGTATTACATGTATTTTACCCAATTTGTTTCTAAATTAAAGGGGGGGGGAATTGGTTCCATTTGCCAAAGAAATAACAACTGATTAATACTCCTCTTAGGAATGCACACATGCATACACACACCAACCTCCAAAAACCAAAGAACCAAGCAAAACCCTAGTGAAAGTCGAGTCCCTGCCCTGGGACCCTGTGGTCTACCTGTGCACAGCTGCAGGGCTTCCAGCTCGTCGGCATCGAGGTGCACATACGAGTGAAGTATGGTCCAGTCCTGTCGATGCCACACCAGGGCAGGCAGGGTCCTGGGGAATCAGAGTGAGAACGCAATGGTGGCTGGCCTGCAGCTGAGAGACTCGGCCCCACCCCCTTCCCTCCTCTTCTGGGAAACTGGCTATCACGGGCAGAGCGGAGAGCTAGCCCTAAATGGACCAACACCTCCAGGCTTCAAATGAAAGTAAAGCAATGTTTTACTGCTTTTGGTGTCAGATTAGCTACAAAAAGCTAAAGGTGAAGTTTCAAAAGATCTCCATGGTAGCAAAGAGACGCTTCTAAGGTTTTCCTCCAAACACCCTACTCTGCAGACTGCCATGGAGAGGGAGTCTGAGGCTACAATCTAAAGAGGGCTCTGAAAGCAAAGAAGTCTTTTATTTTTATTAAATGTTTTTATTGATTTTAGAGAGAGAAGGGAGAGGAGAGAGGGACGAAGGGAGAGAGAAAAGGATCAGCAGCCTCCTGCACGCCTCCTACTGGGGACTGAGCCCACAACCTGGGCATGTGCCCTTAACTGGGAACAGAACCAGCGACCTTTTGGTGCATGGGAAGGTGCTCAACTAACTAAGCCACACTGGCCAGGATGCAAAAAGTGTTTTGAAGTCTCTCATTTCATATTTAATTCCAGTCAAACTTGCAAATCACTTTGTGTTTGATTTTTACAAAATAGGTTTCAGTAAAAAAAAACCACACACACAAAAAAAACTTCCAGTAAAACAACTATTGCAAGAAGAAGTGTTGAGTTTATCTGTGGTTTTGTGAACGCCCTGGTGCCTTGTTACAGATCTCAGAAGCTGTGGACATGTTTCAGCAGCATAAATGTAGAGGAAAGGGTAATGGGCTAGAAAAGTACAGGGTTTGGAGTGAGAGCGAGGAGGGTAAAAATTCTGGCGCTTTCACGTAAGATCTGAGGCAACAGCAATCATTAACAATAATTATTTCTAAAGTGTACACTATGGGCAAGGTACCCGCTAAGAACTTCACACAAATTATTTTCAATCCTGAAAATAAGCCTCTGAGGTAGGTATTAGCTTCATTTTACAGATCAAGAGACTGAGGCTTAGAAACATGAGCATCCTTTATGTGGGCACAGAGAGAATACATTGCCTTCCCAGGATTTTAACCCAGGCATTTGACTACCAAGACCTTGTCCTCTTTCCATTATCTGACCGCTTAGCCTCTCAGCCTCAGTTTTCTCATCAATAATACAGAATATTAATGCTTGCAAGGTTCTCGTCATGAGTAAATTTAATAACCTAAGGTACCTTACACAATGCCTGCCATACAGTAAACACAGCATAAATGCTAGTTCTCCCTGATTTTAAAAAAGAATCTAAGAACAAGTTAGATTAGGCAAAAAAGACACAACCACCCCTAAAACATACACACATACCCCTCTACTTAGTATAAAAAATAAAAGAGACAGGTCTGTGGTAAAATTGAATAAAAGAAACAACTTACTAAACGGGTCAGGAAACTATGACCCACGAATTGCTGCCTGTCTTTACACATAAAATGTTACTGAAACACAGCCATGCTCACTCACTGATGTAGGTACTGTCTACGGCTGCTTTTATGCTACCCATGACAGTTGAGTAGTTCAGACAGAGACCATATGGCCCACAAGCCTTAAATATCTCCTCTTTGGCAAAGAGAAGTTTGCAAACTCCGAGCTCTAAAATATGCATATTTCTAAAATTAAAGAAGAATCTGTCGAAATTCAGTGACCTTGAATTGCTAAATCTAAACAGGACCATTCACCCCCCAGACCAACATGTTCTATTTTTACCAAATGTGCAACAGAATAGAGCACAGAGTAACACCAAGTGCCCCAAACTGGCTGCCAACAAGGTTTACACATTTTAATGACTAGAGAGGATACCTGGTAAACTCCTGGACAACTTCTATTTTGGGGTGATAGACAACAATTCTTTTCTTGAGCATCAGTGCCGTGTGTATGATAACAGTTTCCATTCCAAACTGAGATACAATGTCTCAAAACAAAAGAAATTATAATGTTACTACATTAAGTATTATATAAAGTTTTTATCAGAAAAAATCCTTGTCATATCAATGCAAAATTATTTTCAACACAGAGAATAAATTTTGGTAACTACTGTAAGCACAGAATCATTTTATCTGATGGGTGGCATATCAATCCATACATCTGCCTCCAAGGATGGAGGTGCCTACCCCTGCCCCCAAGGGACTCTATTTTGGGTGCATACACAAAGGCAGACTCACAAGAAAGTGGAGTAACGGTATGAAGGGAATCAGCCAGTGTCATGAAAACTCAAGTTTAAAAAAATATTCACTGACCA